GGGGGGGGGGGGAGACGGCCCGGGGCCTTCGCCGCCTCCCTGATGAGGGAACGCCGCTCCTCCCACCGGGATCATCCCGCCGGGAATCCTCTCCCAGGTGGCCTCCCGGCGCGCGTAATCACGCCGAGCGTTGGCGCGGGGGCGCCGGGAAGCGGAGGGGTTGAGCGGCTTCTCCCCCCCCCCCGCGCGCCTCCCGTGGGCGCTGCCGGCGTGGAGCGCCCTCACCCCTCAGGGATCAGCGCCTTCTCTCCTGAGCGCGACCGGCGAACAGCCCGGAGGGTTGTTAAAGCCTCGGCTGGCTTTAAACTGACGGGGAGTCCCTTTAGGTTGGAGATAACCTGGAAGGAATTCTCTCCCGTGAGGGCGGTGAGGCGCTGGCACAACGTGGCGTCCCGCCCTGGGAGGGAAGGGAGCGCCCGGCGCTCGGCAATTTCCGTCGTCAGTTTCCTTCGTCCCAAGGAAAAAGCGAAAGCCGGAGGATCCGCCAAAAAAAAAAAAAAAAATCGCGAGGTTTTATTAATAAATTACACGCTTTTGGCGTGGAAATCGGTGTGTGAGTCCCTGAGCTACCGTGTGAGCACATGGCAGTGGGGTTTGGATAAAGGGGTGAGGAAAGGGAAGAGATGAATTAAAGAGGGGGAGAAAGAAAGAGAGAGAAAGAGAAAAAATCACCAGCCCCGATTCCATCCCGCTTTTGTGCTGATGGTGTCTTTTGTTGTGTCTCTGTGGACTGGAAAAGTCCTACCCTACCTCCCTTCTCCGGTCACATCTTGTTCTTTCTTGCGGCGTGTTATTCCCAACAATCCTTGTCTGTTATTCCCAACAATCCTTGTTCAGCTCCATGACTGTCCAGCTGTCCCATGTTTGAGATATGGGCATTAGCCCAGAGAAGCTGTGGCTGCCTCATCCCTGGGAGTGTCCAAGGCCAGGTTGGACAGGGCTTGGAGCAACCTGGGATAGTGGAAGGTGTCCCTGCCCATGGCAGGGGGTGGAACGGGATCATCCTTAAGGTCCCTTCCAACCCAAACCTTCTGGGATTCTGTGATATGGTGCTTAAGAAACTCCTTCATAGGACTTCTGCAGCCACCCACGGGCACGCTGTACAGCCCTCTTCCCGACATTCCAGGTGCTCGTGACCTGGATTAGTGTAACTCTGGGTGAGTCTGGGCTTTGCTGACTTACACCAGCTCCAAACCCAGACCCGGCATCTGCCCCATGTTGGCAGCGAGCAAGGCTGTCCTGCAGTGCCCTTTGACCATCCATGCTCTGCACAGGGATTTTATTTACCTCTTTTATTTCACTGTCACCTTTAGCACTGCCCACCTAAACAAGGTATGGATCACAGAATCACAGAATCGTTAAGATTGGAGGAGACCTTTAAGATCATCGAGTCCAACTGTCAACCATGTTCCCCACTAAACCATGTCCCCAAGTGCCACATCCACTCTTTTGAACACTTCCAGGGATGGTGACCCCACCACTTCCCCGGTCAGGCAGTGCCAGGGCTTTAAAACCCTTTCCATTAAAAGATTTTTCCCCATATCCGACCTGACCCTCCCCTGGCACAACTTGAGGCTGTTTCCTCTCATCCTGCTCCTTGTTTCCTGGGAGAAGAGCCTGACTCCCCCCCCTGGCTTCACCCTCCTGTCAGGGAGTTGCAGAGAGCAACAAGGTCCCCCCCGAGCCTCCTTTTCTCCAGGCTGAGCCCCCCCAGCTCCCTCAGCTGCTCCTCACAGGACTTGTGCCTCATCCAACCTGGCCTTGGACACTTCCAGGGATGGGGCAGCCACAGCTTCTCCGTGCAACCCATGTCAGGGCCTCCCCACCCTCGCAGGGAAGGATTCCTTCCCCAATATTCCAATAACCCTACTCTCTAAAACCTGTGTGGGAACTGAAAGCGCAGTTTCTCGTGGGGATGATTTGTTTTCAAGATTTCAGTTTCACAATAATCAAAGGAGAAGGGAGAAGCTGCGGGAGAATCGAAAACATATTTGAAACCGGGGTTCCAGTGTGTGTTTTGGGGAATCCTTGGCTCGAGTCGTGACTGTTTTCTCGGAAAGGAGAAGTCTGATGGGAAAAAAACGGTGTCTAACCTTTGGAGGTGGCTTCCTGCTTTTGCAAAAATGATTTGCAGACCAGGAGAAATTGTCCCTGGAAGAACCAGCTGAGCCAAGGGACAGGATGTGCCCAGTAAAGAGACGTAACGTGTCCCGGTGCCCAAAGCAGCGGCGCGAGAAAAAAGGGCATTTTAGTGGCATCACAAAATGTTCAGTTTTCTCTGCAAATTGAGCTGCATCCTGTGCCTGGGGTTTAACATTTAACACAAACAGAGCAGCTGCCCTCGGCTAAGGACGTGTTGCCAAAGGAGTTTGGCATTGGAAAGAACAGGAGCTCCTGCAAATCGAAATAAAAAACGCTCCCCAAAGAGGAAGCAGAAATAAAAGAGGGATTTAGCAAAATGAAAATAAAAACACAGAAACAGCAAAGGGGGAAAAACACTCAGCAAACAACACCCCCAAGCCCGATTGCTGAGGGCCATTTCTGCTAAACCATCCGATTTCACAAGGGCTGTGTTGACTCCGAAGTGTCCAAATAGTCTTGTGAGGAAACGGGGTCGATGCTCTGAAGTGAAACTGCAAAAAAAAAAACCCAAAGGATGAAATTCAGGCTCCAGCCCAGCACCACAACGCTCCGGGTGCCTCGGAGAGCACCTGCAGCGCTGGGACCCTGCCATGGGAAAGCTCAGGATACTCGTGGAGCTGCTGATGGGATCGGGAGAGGGTTAAAACCCTCACCCGGGCAGGAGAAGCCCGTGAGGATAAGGATAGGCAGAGCTCTGAGCTCCGGAGGAGGACACAGTGTCCATGCAATACCAACACAGCTGGAAAACCTGGATTTCAAAGGACCATGGCCTCCGGGAGATGGATCGGATAACCTTGGATAGTGACTGGTTTAGCTGGTTCAGGGTCGATCCTGGCCCTCACACAGGCAGCCTTTGTTTCCATGAAAGGTTCTCCCTCCATTCCAGTTCTCCTTCCTTTGACATCAGTTGCCCTTTTCCCTCTCCCACCACCCCGGGAGGTGTTTCTAGGGCCAAATGCCAAGTGATTCCCAGCCCCGGGCAGCAGGAGCAGGGGATGCTGTTTGGGGATGCTGAGCCTGTGCTTTGGGGCCAAAACCAGGAGCAGTTTGTGAGGAGACCCCCAGCAACTGCTGAGCTCGGGCTCTGAGGTTGGGAATCCATCATCTGCTCCTGTATTCCATGTGCTGAGGGAAGGAGCAGGGGGATGGCAGTGAGGTGGAAGCTGCACATCACCAACCCAAGAGCCAGAGTGGTCAGACTGTCTCCTTCCAGCTGCTTTTCCAGGCCTTTCCTGTCACAAACCTCACCTGAGAGCTTCTCTTATTTTTCCTCTCCAGCTTTTCCTGCCTCTTCCTCCCATCGAGCTGTGCCACAAACCCTCTGGAGGTGGAGCACCAGCACTGAGCAGAAACCAACCCGCTGCAAAGAAGTGACCCAAATTAGGGGATTTTAGGGAGCTGCTTAAATCCTCTTTACTTGCCTGGGTGTTCTCGTTGTTTATTTTATTAATCCTTTTTTTGCAGACGTTGCCCCTCTTCCTCGCCCTGTCTCAGTGGGGTGACAATATCCCAATGCAAGGGGCTGTTTCCACTCTGCAGCCAGAAAAGTCCCAAGGCCTTTCTACTCCTTTGTTCCCAAAAATCACAAAGCCAGTGAGGAATGCAGCCAGACAGGGTTGCACCCATGTGGCAAAGGCCGACCACAAATGACAAGCACGGGACAAATGCCTGTCCCCTGGTCTTGTCCTGCTCCCTGAGTGATGCTGGATCTTAGGCACTGCTGAGGATGCTCTGACTCCTTGCAGCAGCTTTTCCTTCTCCCCTTTCCTCGGGGCCCCCCAGTGCCACGTGCCCTTCCTCGGCTGCTGATGGCTTCAAGATGTGGGAAGCTGGTCTGGGAGGAAAATTCAATCCCTGTCACCAATGCCTGGGAATGTGCAGTGAATAAGCAGCTTTGCAAGTCAAAGAAGTCTGGGAGTGATTTGTTCTTTTTTATTTATTTATTTATTTATTTTTAACTGAACTTAACAAGTTCTTTCTTCCCAGTTGGAAAAGACTTCAGACTGGATTATTTCAGTCACAACGAGCCCTGGTCCCTCAGATCCCAGTCCCTTCCCGTTTGTGGTGGGGGAAACGCTCATGGCCTCAATCTGGCTTGGTCCCAAATGTCTTCAGGCAAGGCCAGCGCTGGGGCAGGTTTGGGATACCCAGAAACTCCATCTTTTCCCTCCCGTGCCAGACAAAAAGAAGGTCGATATTTTTGCTAAGGAAATGCAGGTTTTGTCATGGAATCCCTGAGGGAGCTGGGGGGGGGCTCAGCCTGGAGAAAAGAAGCTCAGGGGGGGCTTTCTCGCTCTCTACAAGTTGTTGAATCGTGGAGTGGTGTGGGTTGGAAGGGACCTTAGAGCTCATCTTGTCGTGAACAAGGACACCTTCCACTATCCCACATTGCTCCAAGCCCCGTCCAACCTGGCCCTGGACACTAATGGGGTCGGGACAGAGCAGATTTGACCCAGGTGGGAGTCGGGCTCTGCTCACAGTTAACAAGCAACAGGTGAAGCTGAGCCGGCGGAGGTTCAGGTTGGACACCGGGAAAAAAAATCCTTCGCCCAAAGGGTTGTTGTCCATCCCTGGCACAGGCTGGAATCCCCATTCCTCGGGGAGTGGGGGGGAGATATTAAGCAGACGCGTAGATGTGGCACTTGGTGGCCCGGCCGGGGGCGCGGTTTGAGCCCCGCAGCGCCGGTGCCGCCGGTGCCTCCCCCGCGGGGCCCCGCTGGAGGCGGGACGGGGACGGGACGGGGCCGGGAAGGGACGGGACGGGGCGGGGCGGGGCGGCGGCGCTGGCGGCCCCCGGGCGCGGCGGAGCGGAGCCGGTCCCGCTGCCCGGCCCCGGGGCCGCTGGCGGAGCGCTCCCGGTGCCGCTCCCGGTGCCGCTCCCGGTGGCACTGACGGAGCTGTGGCAGTGACGGAGCGGTCCCGGTGCCAGTGACGGAGCTGTGGCAGTGACGGAGCGGTCCCGGTGGCACTGACGGAGCTGCGGCAGTGACGGAGCGGTGCCGGTGCCAGTGACGGAGCGGTGGCGGCGGCGGCGGGCGATGGGTACCGGGCGCTGGGCGCTGCTCTGGGCGCTGCTGGCGGCCCTGTGCCCGCCCCGCGGAGGGGCCGGTGAGTCCGGGAGGGATCCCAGGGGCTTGGGGGGGCACGAAGGGATCCCGGGACGACGGCCCCCGGGATGGGGGACGGGTCTTGATACGCTTTTGCCGCGGATGCTGCTCCGGGCGCTCAACCCGGCCCGCGGCCGGGCTGTGCCGTGGGCACCGCGGGTGCCGGCACGGCTGGACCCCGGGGAGAGGCTCCGCGGGGGTTTCCCTGCGGGTTTCTGGCGGCGTCGCAAACCAGAGTGTGTCTGGCTGTGCTGGCACGCAGGGTCTGGATGTCCGGGACACAGGGTCTGGATGTCCTGACACACAAGGTCTGGATGTCCTGGGAGAACAGGGTTTGGCTGTCCTGGTTTACTGGGTCTGGTAGTCCCAGGGCACAAGGTCTGGTAGTCCCAGGGCACAAGGTCTGGCTGTCCCAGGGCACAAGGTCTGGCTGTCCTGGCACACAGGGTCTGGCTGTCCCAGGACACAGGTTTTGAATGTCCTGGGACATATGGTTTGGCTGCTTCTGGAACAGAGGGTCTGGCTGTCCTGGGAGAACACAGTCTGGCTGTCCTGGTTTATTGGGTCTGGCTGTCCTGGCACATGGGGTCTGGCAGTCCCAGGACATGGGTTTTGAATGTCCTGGGACATATGGTTTGGCTGCTTCTGGAACAGAGTGTCTGTCTGCCCTGGTTTACTGGGTCTGGCTGTCCCAGGACTCAAGGTCTGACTGTCGTGGAACACAGGGTCTGGCTGTCCTGGCATCCTGGGCACACAGGGTCTGGCTGTCCTGGGATGTGGGATTTGGCCATCCTGGCACACGGGGTTTGGTTGTTCTGGGATGCAGCTCTGTCTCTGCAGTGTGGTCCTGTCCCAGCACTTTGCTGCCTGCTGGGGACACCACGACAGCGAGGGACCACAAACTGTGACAGATCAGTTTGGGATTTATCCCGTTGGCCATGAGCTGGCTGCGTAGCAGTGCTGGGAGAAATCACCAGGAATCACCCCGGGTTGTGGCCCTTTGCAGTGCTGGCAGTTTGGTGGCTTTTCAGCTCCACATGGAGAAAGAAATGTGGAGACAAAGCAGTTTTCGGACTTCCAAAGTCCTGTGATCAGGGCTGCCCGAACTTTGGGCACAGCTGGGAGCTGCTGGGGGTCCACAGCCCCTGCTCAGGGATGCTGGGGGGTCCCGGAGTAGCCGTGCAGATGGAATTTGGCAGGGAAGGCAGGAATGCGAGTGTTTGCCTTGGGCAGGGGGGAGTTAAAGCCCTGACTCTGTCCCAGCAGGAGCCTGCAGAGGGGAGGGGGAACTCAGTGTGGATGTAACCAGGAATCCTGGGCTGGTTTATACAAAAGGTGTTTGAATCCTCGGGGTCTCTTTGGATTCCAGGGGGAAGTTCACTTCTCATAATCACGGAATCGTTTGGCTTGGAAAAGATCATTAAGATCGTGGAGTCATTAATCTGACACTGCCAGGTCCACCACAGCTCCCAGGGGATGGGGAGCAGGAAACCCCACAGGCAGGGGGGTTCCTCATTCTTTCTGCCCAACAAGTGCCTGAGCAGAAGGCTGTGCCAGCAGGTGAACTACTTCCAGCAGCGGGAATTCCAGGGCTAGGGATGTAGCCAGCTCTTTGGCAGGCTCGGATGCAGCAGAAGACCTTGCTGTGTCAGTCCTGGGGTGTTGCAGCTCCCTGCTCGTTGCTTCTCACCCGTCATGAAGTCTCCTGCCAGGTTTTCCTGCTACGACTCCGTTCTCCGGGGCAGTGAGGGAGAAAGGCACGTGGGGCCTTCTGGGCTGAGCAGAAAGATGTGTCTCTGCTGTGATCCCAGGTGTTCTGAGAGCAGTGCTGCGCTCGCAGGTGGTTGGATTTCCACGCCGGCTTTTCCCTCGGGCCAGGCTGTGGTTGGGACGGGAGCTGCTCCTGCACCCACGCAGGAACGCTGGGCTCGCAGCTCCCTGGCTTTAGCCCGGCACTCTGGAGCCAGCCTAACTGCTCTGGATGCAGGGAAGGGCTGCCCTGCCACACACGGAGGTGCCACGACACCCACATCCCGAACTTCTGCGGATGGAAGGGATACCCACAAGGGCAGCGCTGGATATGAGAAATTCCTGTTGTTACATGAGTCAGAGGGGAAAGTATTTCATTCCTGGGCCGGCAAACACCTCTTCCCGCTTAATTAGTGTCAAAAAACAAGGCTGAGGTCCTCTGCCTTTACTTGAAGCAGCCCAGGGAAGCAGAAATCATCCCAGGGCACACATCCACGCGCTCCCAGGCCCCGGGGGGCCGAGCTGGGGGAGCCTCTCCGGCTCCAAATGGAGCAGGAAAACAGCACTTTGAGTTTGGATCGTGCCAGGCAGCCAGAGCAGCTCCGGCCTGAGTGACCTCCGGGAAGAGCAGGGCAGGGAAGGGAATTCGGGGTCGCTCCCTTGTTTGCCTTTGGCAGATCCCTTGGGAGCTGATCCCTTGTTGCAGAGCACGTCCGTCCCTCCGTGGAAGTCCCGCTGCAGTTTTGCAGCAGTCACATGGCCTTTGTTTGTGTTGGGAACACAACACAAACGCCAGGCTTAGGAAGCAGGTTGGAAAAGCCTCGGGTCTTTTTTTTTGTTTCTTTCTTTGAGGGAAGCCCATTGTGTTGTCGGGGAGCCTCCCCCTTCCCCCTGCACCACCGGACCCCTCAGGGCTTAAAAAAACCCTCCCCTGCTTTCTGTCCTCACGTTTTAACCACTTCTCGAGGGTTAAAACCGGTGATTTAGCAAAGGGATACATATCCAGCCTGAAAATTCGGTTGTGTTTCTTGGCTCCAGGGAAAACACACCAGGCTCGTGCCCCCATTACTCACAACGGCGGTGACGTAGCTTTAAAAACTCGTCCTTTGATGTTTGAGGCCCTAAAACCTGCCCCAAACCAAACTCAGCCTGAGCTCAGGTTCAATAAAAGGGTTGTGCTTTCTTTCTCTTTTGTAAACTGTGAACAGTTGTTTGTTTGTTTGTTTGTTTTAACTCGGAAGAGGGAAATTAATTTAGTTGAAATTCCTGTCTGGCAAAATGCCTTTGCTTGCTGAAAGGGAGACTTAGCACTCGGCCTGGGGATTGCTGATGGCTGTGAAAGCCTCGGGAAGCTCAGAAATGGTCCAGTAAAATCACCCACACGTGGTGTATCCTCTGGATTTCACCTCTTTAAAAACATACATTTTTTGGGGGGAGGGAATTCCTTTGTGTGGAGCTGCTTTTCACTTCGGCCCTGACTGGGTGGGAAGTGCTGGGAGGGAGGGGGGAAAAACACCATTACAGGACTGTTTGATGGTTTGTAGGTGGGGGCATGGAGCTGGTAAATAGCCTTCCCTCGGGAAAAAATGTGGGAAGAGACTCCAGAAGAGCAGCACAAAACAGCAGCTGGCTCCTACATGCTGTCTGAAGGCATTTCTCCGTCTGACTGCAGCTATTTTCCCGGGAAAGGCAGTGGAGTGGAGGCACTTAACTTAGCAAAAGTTGACTCAGAGCATGTCCCCACTCTTGGAGCAGCTCCCCCGTCCTGGGAAGGGAACAGCATCACCAGCAGAGCCTAAAACCAGCGAAATTCCTGTCGGGAGCTCTTCCTCTGCCCCAGCTGAAAACGCTTGAGATGAGGCCCTGAAAGGGGCTTGCTGGTGTAAAGTCCCAAATTCCTGCTGCCCAGAGGGATCCTTTTATACTCCGGTCCCAGGGGTGCAGCGCAGCAGGAATAGCTCCTGCCTCTGCCCTGCCCCAAAAGATGCGGCTGAGTGTTTTCTTTAGCTTTAAAAAATGGCTTTTTTGGAGGTTCTGCTTGTACATGGTGAGTCCTGGGACAACCCCCTGCTCCAGGGACTCTTGGGAGAGGTCTGAGAGATGCTGTATTTTTGGCAGTGGAAACAAACTGCTTTTTAGTTGTTCTTGGAAGGGGCTCAGCGGGGTTTTTGGAGGGGGGGCACTCGCTGCCTGGCAGTGACAAACCCGAGGTCTTCTCTTGCAGAGGGTGCTGACCAGATTCCAGGCGTGAGGCTGGACCTGTTGGAAGATTCCCATCACACGGCCACCGTTGGCCACTGGCCTCGCCGGAGCCCCAGGGAGGAGCCCCCCAGCAGCTTCCTGGGACCGCTGAAGTTCAACCCCACGGTGCGGCACATCGTGATCAACGAGCACAGGGACGTCACCTTCAACTGCTCCATCAAGGTGCCCCAGGCCCTGCTCCGGCCGGACGCCCCCGGGATTTCCCTGTGGAAGGACGGCAGGGAGCTGCAGGCGCTGGACCGCATCGCCAGCAGCCACTTCGAGATTCCCGACGAGGAGGAGGTGTCCATGACCTCCACCTTCAGGTGAGCGCCGCTGCCCTTCCCGGGCGGGAGAGATGTGTGACGAGGGCGTGACCAGCGGGGGTTTGGGACTGGGATTAGGGTTCCCAAGCCCAGGTTATCCCAGTGTGTGCCATGGGGTGGTTGGTGTCGGATAAAACCCATCCCCGGGCCGGAGTGTTGCCGTGCCCCCGACGTGCTCTCCGTTCCCCCCGGCAGCATCCTGGCGGCCCAGCGCTCGGACAACGGCTCCTACGTCTGCAAACTCAACATCTCCGGCACGGAGGTGGTGTCGGATCCCATCCTGGTGCAGCTGGAAGGTGAGCGGGAGGGGAGGAGGGAGACGTGGAGCTGTTCTCCGGAGACGGGGAATCCCGGTCGGGAAGGGGCCTGTTGCCGCAGCACCTTTGGGGCACTGAGAGTCCCTTCCCCTGGCCCAGGCCTCCCGCACTTCATCCGGCAGCCGGAGAGGCTGAACGTGAGCAGGGGCAGCCCGTTCAACCTGACGTGCCAGGCCGTGGGGCCGCCGGAGCCCGTGCACATCTTCTGGTTCCGCAACAACGTCCGCCTCAACGAGCAGCCCCTCGTCTCCCCGTCCGTGCTGACCGTGCCAGGTGAGCCCACCTGGGGAGCACCTCTGGAAGGAGGGCAGGGTGGGAAGGTGTCACCTCAGAGCCAGTCCCGCTGGTCTTGCACTCCTGTTATAGGGATATAGGGTGTACGTGTTCCTGTCACAGCCCCGGGACCACCCTTAAATCACGGGATATTCTGAGCTGAAGGGACCCCACGAGGATCACCGAGTCCAGCTCTTAAGCGAATGGCCCAGGAAACCCCATCCAAGCCCCTCTGGCTGCTGTCAGAGATTCCTTCCTTGGAAAAGGCAGATGCTCAAATGGCCCTTCCCTGAGCGAGAAGCAGATTTTTTCCTTCAGCGTGTGGCTGTGCCAACGAGAAACTGCTGCTCTCATGGGCTGCTTGACTGGTGGTCCCCTTTCCATGTCTCTGGAAGAGCTTGGGGTGGTCCCAGCAGCGTGTGGAGCACAGGGAGAAAAATCCTTCGTGTCCCATAAAACCCACCGTGCAGAGGCAAAAGAGGGGGGATTTTTTTTCCTTTGCTGGTGAGGAGAAGGCCATTAGTTAATTAACAGCCAGGCTATAATAACTGACTGGTCTTGGCATCCAAAGGCGGCCTTTAAAGGGCAGCGAAAGCAGGAAGAAGTGACTCATTCCTCTTGGATGTCCTTGCATCCGGCTGGCACTCGCTTGGTTGGGTCACTGGAACAGTCCTGCTCCTTGGCCCGGGACCACTGGGATGAGCCAGCACTCCATGGCACGTCCATGGCAGCAGCAACCAGGGGGGGCACCTCCAGTAAACCCTTGGCAAAAGAGCCAGAAATGCTGAGCCCGGGGGGGAAACCAGCAGCCATCCATCTCCCCCCTCCTCCGGGTATTTCCAGTGGTCCTCGCCCGCGATCAGCCGGAGATTTGAGCAATCTTTGACAAGTAATCAGTCATCTGACCCAGGCCGGGGGGTTCTTCTGCTTTTCTGCCTTTCCCCTTTTGAGGGCAGAGCACGTTCTTCCCCCGGGGAGGGTTGTGCAAGGGGCCCGGTAGGGACACACCGTGCCGGGAACTGCTCCACGTGTTCCCGGCGTGGAACGGGGCTGAGCTGGGCCGTGGGGTCACCCCCGGGCAGCCACGGCACGAGTGCCACACGTGTGAACCACGGGCCCCTTTGTGCTGCTCGAGGTGGTGAAGCCTAAGGGAGGAAGGCAGGAGGGTTCTGGTGGGATTTGGGCGCGTGTCCGGCGCACAGGGATGAGTTCTTTTCCCCCACAGGAATCAACGAGACGACGCTGTTCAGCTGCGAGGCCCACAACAGCAAAGGGCTCACAGCATCCAGCCCCGGACAGGTCAACGTCAAAGGTCAGCCACGGGACCTCCCTTTCCCTGCTAAACCCCTGTGTGTCCAAGCAGGAGCTCCCCACACTTCCAAGAACTCATCCTGCACAAGCTGAGGGAGACCCCATTTAGGACTCCCAGACTTGTTTTTTCCCCCTGTTTTAATCCTGTGTTTAAAGTGGGGATCTACATCCAGCACACAAGCTGAGGGAGACCCCATTTAGGACTCCCAGACTTATTTTTTCCCCCTGTTTTAATCCTGTGTTTAAAGCGGGGATCTACATCCATCCCTCTGGGCTCGGGGAGGAAGCACCAAAGAGCACATCTGAAAGCAGAGCTGTCAGCCCCGGGTTTAGGAAGGGCTGTATCACTCTTTTCCTTCCTTCACGGAACGCTCACGATTTTCCACAGGAAACGGTGGAAATCGCTGACATTCCTAACGGGAGCCACTCCGGCAGCACGAGGAAGGTGTTCCCCAAATATGTCATTGCCTCTGAGCACTCACAAATATAGGACACGCTCAAAATAGCCCTGAAAATGACTTTTTTTTGTGCTTCCCTGTCCGGCCGTCCGGCCCATCCGCAGGACTCCGGTGGGGGACGACGCAGCAGCCGGAGCCAGGGCTGTGCCTGGGGGGTCATTCCTGAACCCCAGGAGCTGCCAGGGAAAACCAGCACGTCCTCCAGCTGAGTGTCCTTGGTTTCTCCCCGCAGGAATCCCATCCGCGCCCGCCAGCGTGCGTGTCCTCAACAGGACAGCCCACGGCATCGGGATCTCCTGGGAGCCGGGCTTCGATGCCTTCTCTGCCTTCAACAGCTGCAGGGTCCAGGTAAACATCCAGGATTCCCCCCCTGTCCCTCAGCCCCCCTCACACGGATGCTCCGAGGCAGGTGGGAGTCGGTGGCGTTTGGCACGAACTGCCCGGATTTCCTGGAATCCTGGGATGGTTTGGGTTGGAAGGGACCTTAAAGATCACCTTAGAGGGGACCTCAAAGATCCCTTCCACGAGACCAGGTTGCTCCCAGCCCCATCCAGCCTGGCCTTGGACGCTTCCAGGGATGGGGCAGCCACAGCTTCTCTGGGCAACCTGTGCCAGGGCCTCACAGCCAAGAATTCCTTCCCAATATCCCATCTATCCATGCCCTCTGCCAGTGGGAAGCCATTCCCCCTTGTCCCCTCACTCTCTGCCCTTTTCCAAAGCCCCTCCCCAGCTCTCTTGGAGTCCCTTTCCCCATGGGCGAGGCAGTCAGGTTGTCATTTTCACGGAGAGACTCACAGAAATGCTCCAAGGAACTTTTTGGGAAGCCTGGAGTTGCTGCAGCCACTTGCTTGTCCCGGTCAAACGCTTCCCAAACCAGCGGCGTTCCCAGTGGGGTTTGGAGAGAGGCAGGTTTCCCTCGGCTCCCCTCTCCTTACAAACACTGGGAAGGAGCTGAGGGGTTGCCTGTCTCCTGGACGAGTCAGGGAATGCCACTTCCACGCCCTGCAGGCCTTTTCCACCTGCTCTCTGTGGCTGGTTTCCCAGTTCAAGCCCATTTTCTCTCATGGATATGGTTTTTATATCACTCCAGCTGAGGTAACACGTGGCTGGAGGAGGTGTTTGAAGGCAGGTAAAAGTGAAAGCAGTTCCAGGGAGGGAAGGTACCAGAGCTAATATTAGCTGCTGCCTTCCAGCTGGAGCTTGGGAAGCGGGGTGGGGAGCCAAGGAATTTCCTCTGACACAACGTTCACGGTCTGTCAGTAGGAAACAGCCTCTCTCGAGCTGGAAAACAAGAGCTGATTTCTGGCAAAAAGCACGGCCGTGACTCAGCCCTTTTTCGCTCCTGTCCCCTTTGATAATCCCACCGCCCGAGTGACTCACCCCCAGCTGTCCCACCTGCCAAGCTCAGCTTGCAAACATCCTGATTTTCTTAAAAAAAAAAAAAAAAAAAAAAAAAGAAAAAAAAAAGCACGGATCTGATGGACTCTCTCCAGAAGACGAGCTGAGGATGGAGGTGGATGCTCAGGACAAGAGCTGGGCCCGGTGGCACCTTCGGGGGCATCCTGTGTGTTCCCTGGTCACATGGGCTCTGTCCATGGAGGTGGCATTCCCTGACTTCTCCAGGAGACAGGCAACCCCTCGGCTCCTTCCCAGTGTTTGTAAGGAGCGGGGAGCCAAGGGAAACCTGCCTTCTCCAAACCCCACTGGGAACGCTGCTGGTTTGGGAGGTGTTTGTCCAGGACAAGCATGTGGCTGCAGCAACTCCAGGCTTGCAAAGAGCAACTTGGAGCATTTCTGGGCATCTCTCCGTGGAAAGACACGGCAACCTGAGGCTGAAGGCTGCTCCCTTTCATTCTGGCTGGAAAACACTGATGCTGAGACCATCCTGGAATACCCAGGGGGGTGCTCTTGTTGCTTGAGCCATCCCAAAACCTGGATGGAGGCTTTTGAGAGGACTGCAGGACCTTCTGCACACTGAAACACATCCTGTGGGTTGGGCTGTCTTCTGAGTGAACTGTCTCGCTCTCACTGGTGTTCCTCCTTCTTGCTCTTCCCTCTTTCCTCCCACCATCCCACTCAGGTGGTGCTTCCCACAAAAAGGCTCTCCCTGGAGAGCTTGCAGGGGCTGTGTGGGCAATTCCACGGGGGCTCCACATCCAGCCCTTTGGGGAGAGGGCAATTTACCTTCCTGCAAAAAGCAGGACTTGCTTTTGGGATGTTAAATTCATCCATCCATGCTGCTAAATGTAATGATGGAGCCTGACTAGGCCTGGGATTAATCCCGTGGCATCCAACGGCGCTAAATCCTGTTTTCCAGGGATGTGTTGCACAAAAAAAAGGACTTTATTTTGTTTATTTGGTGTGTACTGCCCGGTCATTTTATTTGGGGTTCCTTTGGCTCCTCCTTCCCAGCATCTCTTCCATATCCCTGCTGCAGGGGTGTCTTCTCCACACGTGTCAGATCCCTCTCCCTGGGTCCCACCAGGGACCTGCCATCAGCTTTTCCAGCGTGCAGGAACAGGGCCCCGATGGGAGGCAGGGGCTCCGGATCCTGTTTTCCCACGTAAGATTCCTGCTCCCCTGCAGGTTGTCGCTGACTAATCCCTGTTTGTGGGCTGGTTGTCGTTCCAATTAAGGTGGAGGAAGCCGTCCCACGAGGCAACAACGTCTCCCTCCTGCTCTTCAGCACGTCGGTGCCCCCCCACGGGTACCACATCCAGCAGCTGGAGCCCATGGAGAGCTACAGCATCCGCGTTTCCTGCAGGAATGAGGTCGGCTGGTCGGCGTTCAGCCCCTGGGTATCTGCCAGCACCACCGAGGGAGGTAGGAAACGAGGAGCCGGAGGCTGGGAAGGGTTTCCCTGCCCTGGGAAAAGCGGCTGTGCCTCGTGCAGGGCTCCCTGGATGAGGTGCTGCTCCGGGGTCGTGGTGGCCCGCAGGGTTGGGAAGGGAGATTTCCCCATCGGGCTGAAGGAAATCCCATGGGATATCTGGTCAGCTCCGGCTGGTTTTCCATCAGACTCCTCACCCATCCCCTCAGCTCCTTTCCCTCCGATCCCTGCAGCTCCGACCACGCCGCCGCTGAACGTCACGGTGTCCTTCAACGAGTCGAGCTCCTCCCTGGAGATCCGCTGGGCGAAGCCACCCCTGGGGAGGATCCACGGGGAGCTGCAGGGATACCACGTCCAGTACAGGTGGCAGAGCTCCAAGGGGATGGTGAGTCGCCGGGGGAAATGGGGAAAAGAAGGGCTGAAGCCTAGGGGAAAAAAAAAATCCCAGCAGGGATGTCCAGCTCGGTCTCGGTGCTTCCGTGTATTCCTTTGGAGCCTATTTGTGCTGCCTCGTGCTTCCCTCTGGATTTGTGCCATACAAACCATCCCTCTCCTGCGTTTGTGTAACCCACGGCCCTGCGGTCAATCCGAAGGCGCGCGGGAGAGCGTATTCCCTGGATTTTGAGTTGCTCAGGTGGGATTTATCCCGTGCCTTAGCTCCTCTGCAAACTCACAGCACGGAGTTCCAGAGCTCGAGGAACACTTCGGGCCAAAACCCCGACTGTGAGCGCATGAAATCATCCGGCAACCCCTTGCTTGCCTTTTCCAGGATTCGGGAAGCAGCCTGCAGGAATTTTCTAGGGCGAGGTTGGCCTGGCCTCTGTGGGCACAAGAGCCTCAGCCCAGGCTCTGCCAGAGGGCAGGAACCTCTGGATAACGTGTCCAGCTGTCGCCTCTGCCCTGTGGTTTTGGGCTTGTGGCAGCCTGAACCCGGCGTGGAAACTGTGACTCACCCCCTAATTTTGTAGGATGCTGCATTTTCTGTTCTCCTTTTGCTCCTCTGGAAAAAAAAAAAAAACACCAACAAGAAAAGCCCATATAGATGCAGCCTGAATAAAGCCAGGGAAACAATATCCTGGTCTTGTGACCAGCAGGGAAAAAAAAAACTGCTGACGGCTTTGTCGTCTGTCCAGCACAAGGGCCAAACCCTGCCCTTGCCCTTTAAGCCCTGGGAGGCTGTTTTTTGTTGTTGTTTTTGTTATTTTTTCATCCATTTCCCCACTCAAGTGCTTATGGAGGGAGATTTTCTCCAGTTCTCAGTTTCAACAGGAGCCTGAGTCGCGAGAGTAACGTGCTTTATGTGCAGAGGGGAGCTTTGGCTCCTCAGAAAGTTCCTCCAGAGGTTGGACTCGACGATCTCTGACGTCATTTCCAACTCTTATTTCGCAGAATCGTTTTCACCAAGCCCCCGAGTTTTGGCCCTGGGCGGGCTAAATATGGGCTGCCCCCAAAATAACCACGAGTTTTGCAGGGTAAAGCCGTGGGGGGAGCCGGATCTCTGTGTCACAGGGCCACCTGCAGGTCTCTCCACAACCAGGAAAACTCAAAAAAAAGTCGGTTTATTTTGCTCTCGAACCGGCAGCTCTTGTTTGAGCCAAGGCTGCCGCGTCTGGGATGTGAAGGAATTCCTCAACCACCACAAAACTCCTGAAAAAAACCACCAAGTTTGGCAGGTCTGCCCTGCTTTGTGCTCACTGTCTGTGACATCAGCAGGGTCTGTCCTCAGCTGACACAGCAGAGCCCTCTGGGACAGGGAAGGATCCCGGGGCATTTTTAGGCTGCTGGTGGGGAAAGGACCTCGTGTGGATGCTGGAGGAAGGCAGGAATGTGGGAATGGGGGCAACAGCAGGTCCCAGCTCCCGCCACTGCCCAGTGATGCAGAACCGCTCCCGGAGCTGGGGGGTTTCACATCCATTTCCGTGGCTTTTGTGGGACTGGGAACAGAAACCGGCTCCCTGTGAGCAGCTCTGATTCCCTTCTCCTCACCCACTGATGCCCCTTGTCTCCTGATTCCCTCCTTCTCTCCCATAGATTCCCCCTTGGCTCCATTCCCTCCTCCTTGCTCACCAATCCCCCTCATCTCCCGACTCCCTCCTGTTCTCCCACTGATCCCTCTCGGCTCCCGCTTTTTTTGTGGGATGTCCATGAAGGAGCCGGGCTCATGTTTTGATTGCAGCTGGGCAGCTGTTCTGCAGCTGGAAATCAGCAGAGAGCAGCAGCAGCAGCACTTTTCTGAGCTGAAAACAACTGGGAAAAGCGGCCGGGAATTTGCAGGGAAAGACTCCCGTGTTTTTCCCCCAGGCCTGTGCTATGGCACACGCCGCCTCCTGCCACGACGCCGGGCGAGGAAGCAGCCCTGAAAGCTGGAAATATAATTAGCTGAACACAAAAACCACAGGCAGAAAATACCTGCCCTAAGATCTGCTTCCTGTTGGGCAGAGCACTCGGACAATCCCACCAGGAGAGCGCGGGGAGCTCGGAGGCTCCGTGGGTGCTGAGGGAGGACTGAGGGTCACAATCTTTGCAGGATCCCTCTCCCACCTCTTTCCTGGCTCAGGCTGCCGCTGCTGCTGCTGCTGCCGTCGAGAAGCAGCAGAGGGCCAAAACCACGAGGATTTGAACGGGAAACGCTGCCCAGCTCCTTTTTCCCGATCCCATCCGGCCCTCGCACACAGGGCCATTCTTCTCCCTAAATAGCCCAGCGCCGCGTTTCCTCCGGGCTGGGAAAGCAAAGGCCATTCCAAAGGTTGCCGGGGGGACGGTTCTCAGCGAATTGCCCGGGGTCTCCCCCGCGTTCCCCAGCCCAGCGTTGTTGTTCTCCCCATCCCGTCCCCAGCAGGACGTCGCTGCCGAGGTGCGGCTGAACTCCAGCGTGGCCGTGCTGCCCGTGGTGGCCACCAACGCCACCTGCTCCGTCCGCGTGGCCGCCGTCACCAAGGGAGGGGTGGGACCCTTCAGCGTCCCCGTGGACATCTTCATCCCCGGCACCGGTGAGGAGATGCCCGTCCCTGCCGCCGGGGGGAGCGGGGTGGGATGATGGGAAGCACCCAGGGTGTGTTTCCTGTGCCCGGCCAAGCCCTTTGCCATCCCTCCATCCCCTGTTTGGACACTTTCCCCGTCAGCCAAGGAGCAGGGGCTGTTATTTGGGAGCAGGAGGTCTTGCTCTCCGCATGCAGCCTCGCTCCTCGCTCCCTCTCCTCCCACGTAACCCTTCTCCGGGATCGGGTCCAGCCCCTGGGAATTCCTCCCGGGAAGCCCTGGGTGCTGCAGGCTGACTCTCCCGCCGGCTCCATTAACAGGATGTTTTCTTAGGATTAATAACCTCAGCCCCATCTTTGACTCCAGCCTCTGGGAACGCCGACTCCTTCGTGGTGGCCCTGGGCTTCATCTGCGGGACCGTCGCCGTCGGGCTCATCCTCTGCCTGTCCGTGGTCATCCAGAAACGATGTGTGGAAACAAAATATGGGTAAGGGGAGGGAGAACCGGGCGGGTCCCGGGTGGGTGGGGTGGCCAGCGGATTTGGGGACAAAGGTCTCTGTCTCCAGGACTGGTGGTGTTGCCGCAAGTGGCATTTTTTTTTTTATGGTGAGGGACTTCAGTGTATTTTTACTGCAGTGATGGTATTTCCTTCCCTTCCTTGCCCAGCACTTCACCTTTCGCTCACTATTCCTATTTCTAAAGGGAAGTGCAACTTGGCGTGGGAGGCGTTTTGACATGGAGGTGGGAGAGAGCAGAGATGTCCCCTCTGTGACCTGAGGGAACGGCTGGAGCTGTGCCCGGGGAGGTTTAGGTTGGATCTCAGGGAAAGTTCCAGGAGGGTTTGGACAATGCCCTCAGGGACAGGGTGGGATTGCTGTGTCCTGTGCAGGGCCAGAAGCTGGACGTGATGATCCCTGTGGGTCCCTTCCAACCCGGGATATTCCATGATTCTATATTATCCCGTGGCCTGGAGAAACCCCTCCTGCCTCATCCCACACTCCAGTGTTGTTTAAATAACACAGACAAAGGGCTGTGTTCTCCTACAACAAGCCAACACTCCTCACTCATCCTTGTGACTTCCCAAGTGGCATTAACCGCCCCTGTGCTCCCAGTTTGGAAACTGGTGGTGTGTAAGGATCCCCTTTCTGAGCTGGTGTAGCGTTGCCACTCTTTCCCTGCTCCAGCCCCTGAGCATCCTGCCCTGTTTTTGCTCCTCAGAGCAGGGCTCTGTAGCAGAGCAGCATTCCTACCGGTACAGGCTGCTCCTGGAGTAGGAAATGAGCATCCTATTTCCTCCCCAAAACCTCTGTGACTCACTCCTTGACACCTGGGCCTCGTTTATGGAGCGGCTGTTTTGCCGGGGCCGTTGTAGGCGACGGAGCTGGTCCAGCCAGGGGGAAATGGAAAACGGGCATTTCCTCCTTCCCCACGGATCCAATTCCTTCATCCAAGCAGCCACACGTGTCCCAGCACGGTGTGTTTCTGTCCCACCAGGAATGCTTTCAGCGGGAATGACTTGGAGCTGGCGGTGAGCTACACGGCCAAGAAGTCCTACTGCCGGAGAGCCGTGGAGCTCACGCGTAAGGACGGCTTGTTATCCCTCTGCGAGGGGGTTCAGGGGGATGGGGCACCTCGGGTTGGAGGTGACTGAGCTGCTGTTCTCCCTCTCCTGCAGTGGGAAGCCTGGGAGTCAGCAGGGAGCTCCAGCAGAAGCTGCAGGATGTGGTCGTGGACAGAAACGCCCTGAGCCTGGGGAAGGTCCTGGGAGAGGGTGAGTGGAGAGCTGGGAGTGGACATATGGGATGTGGGGCTGCTGCTCTTCCCTACATCATCCCCAGCTCCAGGCCTGGGAGATGGTGGGACAAGACAACCAAGTGCCCTGGGTTCGTAGAATCAAGGAATCCTGGAATGGTTTGGGTTGGGTGGGACCTTAAAACTCATTTTGTTCCAAATCCCTGCTAGGGGCAGAGAACCTTCCACGAGCCCAGCTTGTTCTCCTTGTGTTCACTGCTGAGGAACAAGCCTTCCCCAGGCTTTTTTAGGGGATGAGGTCTCCATCTTTTCAGGGACACAGTGGTGTCCTGAAAGGTGGTGCTTTGGGCTGTGGATAAAGGGATTTCTTCTTTCCCCTGGCACAGGGGAGTTTGGATCAGTGATGGAGGGACGCCTCAGCCAGCCCGAAGGTGTCCCACAGAAGGTGGCTGTGAAGACCATGAAGTGTAAGTAGTTCCCAGTCCTCCCAGGACTGTGTTTATCCCGCTGGATGCCGGCATTCCCACTGCCTCTCTCATCCCGGCACCAATTTGTGGCCCCTCTGCCACAGCTCCTGGTGCCATCAGGAAGGGACACTCCTATCAGACATCCAAGGATGGTGGAGCCATCCCGGTGATCCCTGTCCCTGTGCTGTGAGGGGAGGTGGGAGCAGCAACGCTCGGTGTTAAACCTCCTTCTTTTCCTCTGCTTCCCAGTGGATAACTTTTCCCAGAGGGAGATAGAGGAGTTCCTCAGCGAAGCAGCGTGCATGAAGGACTTTGACCATCCCAATGTCATCAAGCTCCTAGGTACGGAATGTCACTCCCTGCCCTCCAGCTGGGATTTGGGCTGGGGAGCCCGGCCTGGATCCTGCACGGATCCACGGGGGACTGTGGTGCCTTTTTCCAAGCTGTCTGTGTTTTTTTTCCCAGGAGTGTGCATCGAGCTGAGCTCCCAGCAGATCCCCAAGCCCATGGTGATCCTGCCATTCATGAAATACGGGGACCTGCACAGCTTCCTGCTCCGCTCCCGGCTGGAGATGGCCCCCCAGGTAGGGAGCACCCGGAGCAGAGGAGCAAAGTGGGATCGGGGTGGGAAAGGAATCCCCCTCCTCAGCTCCTGCAGGCTCGTGGTTCAAGGAATGGCCCAGCCTGAGGGATGAACGTCTGGAATGTCAGCTGGCAGCCCCGGACAGGGGAAGCCTTTTGGATCAACCCCCAAGGGCCTCGCGCTGCCTAATCCCCACCTTCCCCTTCCCAGTTCGTGCCCCCGCAGACGCTGGTGAAGTTCATGGTGGACATCGCCCTGGGGATGGAGTATCTGAGCAGCCGGAACTTCCTGCACAGGGACCTGGCGGCTCGGAACTGCATGTGGGTTTGTTCTCCTGGGAAACACCGGCGGGAAACCCCGGGGATTTACGGCTCCCTTCCCTCGCTCTCGGGAGGGCAGAGATCTCAGCCTCGGGTTTGTGCTCCGGGATGGAGCTTTTCCCCGGTTTCCCCCCGGCAGGCTGCGGGACGACATGACGGTGTGCGTGGCGGACTTTGGCTTGTCCAAGAAGATCTACAGCGGGGATTACTACCGGCAGGGCCGGATAGCCAAGATGCCGGTGAAGTGGATCGCCATCGAGTCCCTGGCCGACCGCGTCTACACCACCAAGAGCGACGTGGTGGGTGGAGGGAAAAGCTGGGAACCAAACCCCGCGCTCTGGTTGTTGTCGTTCCCTGGAAGCGCCGGAGGAGCAGGAGGCTGCGGGTGACCTTTCCCGGTCTCCTGCCGTGGGTTTGTCCCCTGCCACGCCAGCGCTTGTTATTCCCGGTTTTGGGAGGGGAGACAGCTCTGCCCGTTGTGCCTGGCACGCCGGGCAGGGCGACCTTTGCCCATGAAAAGGGTCATTCATTCCCCCCCCCCCGAGTGTCCTTTCAGCGCCGTCCCTTTCCCTTTGTCCCTTTTGCAGTGGGCCTTCGGCGTCACCATGTGGGAGATCGCGACGCGCGGGATGACGCCCTACCCGGGGGTGCAGAACCACGAGATCTACGAGTTCCTCTTCCACGGGCAGCGCCTCAAGAAGCCCGAGGATTGCTCGGACGAGCTGTGAGTACCGGAACCCCCCCGCTCCCGGGCTCCACCACGCTCTGGATGAAAGTATCCTGGGAATGAGCTCGGTCTCCCAAGTTTTGATGTGCCTAAGGGAAGCCACATCCTGTGTCACCCTCCCTGTGTCACCCAGCTGAACTCCAGGCAAAAATCCCAACAGGTGTCTCCCAGGGAGAAGTGATGGTTTTTTGCACAGACGTGTCGAGTCAGGGACAGGAATTTTTTTAGTGCTTTATTTCTTTATTTTTTTGGTCAAGACGGTTTTAGCCCGAAGGTCCTTCCTGACCGGTGATGCTCCTCTGTGCCCCACAAAACTTCCCTCTAGGAGCCCTTCGTGGCCTCGAATCCATAAATCTGGAAACCTCGAACCTGGATTTCTGAGCAGCTCAGCAAAGGCTTTTCTCCCGAGTTTCCTTCCTGAGTTTTCTCTGGTGCCATTAGAGCTGAAAATGTTTAATCTCCCCGTGGCTAAGGATCCAAACCGGATAAACTGAGTTGTGCAACGTTTCCTAAAAGGCTCCTCTCCAGCGCCTGTTCCTGAAGGGAGCGGCGAAGGAACCTTTTTAGATCCCGCCTGCCCAAGGGTGGGGAGGCAGCGTGTGCCCAGCTGGGACCTGCTGGCAGCTCCCAGTGCTCCCTGACATCCAGCCTGGGAGCAGGCACCTGCCAAGAGAGGGACTGGGCATCCCTGACGCAGAACTGGGATGTTCCCAGGGAACAGATCCCAGGGCTGCACTGGGAGAGACTTGTAACACTTCTGACAGCAGCTTGGGCTGATCCCTTTGGAAACAGGAGTTGTTTTCGCTTTGTTTTCATGGAAAGCTCAAGGCTTTGCCCAGTTTGGAGGGAAGCTGGGAATTAACCCCATATCTCCCTTAATCCAGAGAAATACAGGCTGCCGGAGAAGCTGTGGCTGCCCCATCCCTGGGAGTGTCCAAGGCCAGGCTGGACGGGGCTTGGAGCAACCTGGGATAGGGGAAGGTGTCCCTGCCCATGGCAGGGGGCGGAACTGGGTGGGCTTTAAGGTCCCTTCCAGCCCAAACCAGTCTGGGATTCTGGGATCCTCTGAGATAACCACGCTCCTCTCCCGTTTCCAGGTACGAAGTCATGTCTGCCTGCTGGAGAGCCGACCCCGCCACCCGCCCGACCTTCTCCCAGCTCAAGGTCCACCTGGAGAAGCTGCTGGAGAGCCTGCCCCGCTCCAAGAGCTCCGGGGAGGCCATCTACATCAACACCAGCCTGCCCGAGCAGAGCCCGGACTCCACCCAGGATTCGGGCTTCCCGCAGGCGGACTCGGACTTGGAGGCCGGGGAGGTGTCGGAGCCCGGCTCTCCCGGCGCGGAGCCGGCGCTGGTGGCCGTGGACGTGCATCCCGGCGAGCCGTGGGGGACGAGGTACGTGACGGAGGAGGAGCAGCTGGGCGGCCCGGCTGAGGATCCTTACATCCCGCTGCTGCCCGGGGCCGGCTCGGAGCCAGGGAGCCGCTGGAGCCAGGCCAGCACTCTGCCGGCGCCGGAGCCCACCGGGGAGGACTCGGAAGCGCCGCCGGGAAAGGTGTGAGCGGGCACCAGGACAAGGACACAGAGAGGGTGTATTTTAATAAACGGTCGTCTCTTTTGCTTAATATCTCCTGCACTGGCCCTTCCCGGGAGCTCCTTCCCCGGGCTGAAGTACTGAGGGTTTGGAATCGACGCTGTAATTATTTTTATGTAGTTATTTTTCTTTCCCAGAAGGACCGGAGCAGGGTGGGGCGAGCGGTGCCGAGGGGCTGGAGCTCCCCCTGCAAGCCTTGCAGGGTCTGGTGTTTTCCCGCTTTTCCGCCGTGCGTTGAGGATTTTGGGACGGGCAGCCCCCCTATGGATGGTCTGGGCTGTTGCTATAGGACCTGCTGGGGGACTTCACGCTGCGAGAAATCATGGAAAACGGCAGCAGGAACCCCAACAGGAGCGGCGTGTGCTCCCGCATTCCCTTCTCCCAGAGAGCAGGTTCCCGTCCACCCGCGTGCTGAGGAACCGTCAGTCCTGTTGCAACAACGGGGAAACAGGAGTCTGTGAGGGGAGTCCCGGGAGGGCTGGAGCCCCCCCAGCCCTGGCCTGGCCCTTCCCTGCTGCCCATTCTCTGTTTTGGGGGGATTTCTGCCGCTTCCCTTCAGGCAGCAACCGGAGCCGGACCCTGCGCTCTGTTCAGCACCTCCCGCCTCTCCTGGGGGCGGGCGGGCTGTGGAGGGGATGCAGGGGGTGGGAAAGGGGCTGGAGAAGGGAGTACCGGGCTGGGAGAAGGTGCAGAGCTGGGAAAGGGGGTCCCGAGCCCGGGCGGGTGGTCCCGTCCCAGGCGGAGCGGGGGGGGGGCATTCGGGGGCTCTCCCGCACGGTGCTGGCTCCACACGGCAGCGGCAGAAACAGCTTTTCTGGGGGGGAAAAAGCCCAACCCCCGTGGGGACGGGCCGGTGTCGCGGGGGATGGATGCGCGGAGCCGGCCGGTGTCCCATGGGATGGATGGGGGGGGAGCCGTGCCGGTGTCCCACGGGATGGATGCCCGGAGGCGGCCGGTATCCCATGGGATGGATGCGGGGGGCCGTGCCGGTGTCCTACGGGATGGATGTGCGGGGCCGTGCCGGTGTCCTATGGGATGCGGGGGGCCGTGCCGGTGTCCCCACGGGATGGATGTGCGGGGCCGTGCCGGCGCCGGGGCGGGGAAGCGCCGCGTCCCCTGCGCGGGGCAGCGCGGGGGCGGCGCGGGCGGGGCGGGGAGAGCGCGGGGAGCCGGTCCCGGAGAGCGGCGGGGCCGCACCGCACCATGCCGGGGGTGCCGGGGCCGCGGGGCCGCCTCCCGCCGCTGCTGCCGCTGCTGCTGCTGCTGCTGCTGCCGCTCCTGCTGCCGCTCCCGGCCGCGCCGGCCGCCCAGGTGAGCGGGGAGCGGGACCCTGGGAGGGGCTTTATGGGGGGGCGCGGGCGGCGCGGGGCTCCTCTCCCCTTCTCCTCCCCTACCTGTGGCCGGAGCGCCCCGACGGTCCTGCGGTGCGATCCCCGCTCCTGCCCCGGGGCCCCGGCAAACAGGTGGGCGAAGTCCCAAACCGCGCTGAAGTCCCAAACCGCCCGGCTTCCTTCGGGCTATTTTTTCCCCCCCCCGCTCTTACCCCACACCTAAAGATGCCCCCCGAGCGCACCGGGAGCAAAGAATCCCCGTTTGGGGGCTTTCGGCGGGGACTTTACGGGACTTCGCGGTGGCTCAGCATCCCGCCGGAGCTCGCGCTGGCTCCCGGAGTTAAAACCCAGCCCTAACAAAGAGCTGTTTATTAAAGCCAGCGACGCGCCAGCATCTATTTGCTTTTTACCTCCCTTCCTCCGGGACCGGGGCATCCCAGAGCTGCCGGCACGGCCCGGCTCATCCCCACCGGCGGCCCGGGACCCCCGAAACTGCTCCCGGGGAACCAGAGGACACCCGGCGCGTTCTTTGCTGGCGCTGGCGCATTTCTCCTCCCGTTTTGGAGACGGGAATCGTTTCGGTTCGTGGTTATGAAAGAGGGGGAAGGAATCCCTCGGGCCAGGTGGGTCAGAGCCCACCGGCTCCGCTTGCTTTCCCAGAGCTCCACAGCCCCCAGCCCCTCCGTGCTGTCTCCCTTGGATCTCTGAGCTCCGGCTTTGCTTTTTTTTTCCCCCTCGGTTTTAAGTCAATTCCACAGGAATCCCATAATAACGGTGCCCGTCTCCGGCATGAGTCAGTCCCGAGGGAGCGATCGGTTTGCAGGCAGGAGTCCCACCAGCGTTCCTGGCCCCGGCAGAGCTCACAAGACAGCTGTTTTCCTCTTGTTTTGTCATGTGGCGGCGGGACGGGGCTCTGGAGCTCCAGCAGGGATGAAACATGAATTATAGCATCTCTCCCAGGGCTGACAAAGCCATCCCAGCTCTGCCCGGAGCGCGGCGTCACCCGGGTACATTCCAGGGAGGAAGCCTGGGCTGAGGACTCTTCTTGCCCAGGTGGAAAAAACTCCTGAACCTGAGTAAATGGTGGTGGTGGTGAAAATACAAAATCAGGGGTCTCATTTGATGTTGGGGACCTCCTGCACGAGGATCCAGTAGTTGGATCCCGGGTGGCACGGCAGTGGAGCAGGATCCCCATCCCTGTCCCCATCCCTGTTCCCGCAGAGCTGCCTCAGCAGGCAGCAGCTCCTGGCCGCCATCCGGCAGATGCAGCAGCTGCTGAAGGGGCAGGAGACACGTTTTTCCGAGGGGCTCCGTGTCATGAGGAGCCGGCTCAGCTCCCTCCACTCCACCCTGGCCAAGGCAGCTCCAGAGGCACCCACCGGTGAGTCCTTCCCGGCCTTGGAGCACCCGGGGTGGGCACGGGCAGCTCGGGATGTTCAGGGCTGGCACAGGTGGAAGTCTGGGCGTGGAGACAGCGGGATTCAGGTTGGCAATTCCTGCTGTAAATTGGAGAGCTTCTCCAGCCTGGGGAGGGTGAAAAGGGTGAGAAGCCCTTACCAGCAAAGCCAAGCGCTCCTGGCAAAGCACCGGACAGGGCTGGAAAACTGGTGTCTCCAGCAAAAAGGCCTCAGTTTGGTGCTGGGAGCGTGAGGGGGGGGTAAAAATACCCACCAATTCCCTGCCAGCCCCACAACATCCCTGCCAGGCGCTCCTTGCGGGGCCGGATGTTGTCAGCGGGACAATATTCCAGGAAAATAACAGGTAAAGGGAGGCTTGGAGGGACTGGGTGAGCTCGGGAGAGTTGGGGATGGGAAGGATAAGTCCCCCCCCCAAGCTGACCCCTCTCCCTGTGGTCTCGCAGTCTCCTGTCCTGCCCTCCAAGCCCCCACGGATGGGAGGAAGTTCGGCACCAAGTACTTGGTGGAGCACGAGGTTCACTTCACCTGCGACCCGGGTTTCCAGCTCCTGGGCTCCAGCACACGGATGTGCCAGGCCAACGGCACCTGGAGCGGGCAGGAGCCCCGCTGCGAAGGTACCGCTCCTTCCCCGCCCGGGAATGGCGCTGGGAATACCAGGATGTGCTGTGGCCTTATTTGAGTACGGGGAGATTTGGGGGCTCACCAAGTGGGGAGGGATCGCAGCTGCCTCCCAACATCCCCCGGGATGCTGCTCAAGGAAAACTGGGAGTCACGGCTGGAGCCTCCCCAGCAACTCAGCAGGAGAGACGAGGGGGGAAAAAGCATCGGGGCGCCGTGGGCGTTCCCAAAGGAAGGTAACGTGGAACGTGGCTGCTTTTCCCCGGCAGAGATCAGCGAGTGCTCGAGCAGCCCCTGCCAGAACGGCGGGACGTGCCTGGAGGGGCTCAACCACTTCAGGTGCCTCTGCCCCCAGCAGTGGACTGGGGCCGCCTGCCAGCACCAGGCACAGACGGGTGGGTGACCCTTCCCCGGGGTGCTCCCCTCCTCCTGGGGGTGCTCCGTGCCCTCTCCTCACCCCGGCGTGTGTCCCCCTCCCCAGCTCCTCCCGCCTGGAGCGTGACGGATGATCCCGAGTTCAGCCGCCAGCCCCGCTGTGCCCAGGTGGCCCAGGCCCAGCAGTGCAGCTGCGATCCCGGATTCCACATGAACGGAACGGCCGCCAACGGGCTCTGCCAGGGTGAGCCGCGCTGGGAACCGGGACACGGGGTGGGATATGGGGCCCTCGTGGAGTCACGGCACGGGGCGGGTTGGAAGGGCCACGGCGGGGTCAGCACATGGCACAGGGTTGTGTCCAGGTGGCTCTGGAATATCTCCAGGGAAGGGGCCTCCACGCCCTCCCTGGGCAATGTGCTCCAGTGTTCAGGTGGAGCTTCCTGGGCATCAGTTCCTGCCCATTCCCTCTTGTCCTGTTGCTGGGCCCCCCCGGTCCAGCCTCTGACACTTCCCTCTGGATAATGATAAACATGGATAAGGCCCCCTCTCAGCTTCTTCCTGAGGCTGAACAGCCCCAGCTCCCTCATCTCTTGTAGGAGATGCTCCAGTCCTTTCACCATCTCCTCTGGACCTGCTCCAGGAGCTCCATGTCCTTGTCCTGAGGAGCCCAGACCCGGACAGGGCACTGCAGATGTGCCTCAGAGGGCCGAGCAGAGGGGAAGGATCCCCTCCCTGACCCGCTGCCAGTGCTCTTCCCAGTGCATCCCAGGACCCCATTGGCCTTCCTGGCTCCCAGGGCACACTGCTGGGCATGGACAGCTTGGTCCTTCTCCATGGAGCTGGTCCTTCTCCATGGAGCTGCTTCCCGGCCTGTGCTGGTGCCCGGGGTTGCTCCTGCCTGGGTGCAGGACCCGCATTTGCCGCTATGGAATTCCAGACAGTTCCTCTCCAGCCTGCCCACGTCCTTCCAAAGGGCTGCACGGCACCCCGGGAGATCAGCCTCTATTCCCAGTTTTGTGCTGGCAGGGACCTCTCTGAGGAGGCTCCAACCCCTTCATCCAAGTCCTGCACGGACGAGTTAAAACTGGGCTCGGTATCAACCCCTGGGGGACCCCGTGCTGCTGATCCCGATCCCCTGGGATCTGCCACCCCCCAGTTCCCAACCCACTGCCCACTCTTGCCAAGTTTTCCCAGCAGGACGCTGTGGGATCCTGGCTGAATCCCTGTTCTCCGCAGACCTCAACGAGTGTGAGGTGTTCCAGCGGGACGGGGGTCCCCGGCTCTGTGCCCATTCCTGTGTCAACCTTCCCGGCTCCTTCCGCTGCTCCTGCCCCTCCGGATACGTCCTCCTGGGAGACGGCAAGAGCTGCGAAGGTGAGGGGGGGTGGGGCCTGGAATCCACTTGTTCCCAAGGGATTTTTCATTTCTCTCCATTTCCACGGGCAGAAATCCGAGGGGGTTGGCACCGAGGGGAGGGTGAGGATGGAGGGACGTTTTGGGGGATGGAGGCGGATGGAGGATGTTTGGGTTGGCGGGAGCTCCGGCTGGATGGGGAGCTGGGCAGGGAAATGCATCCCGGGGTTGCGCTGAGGGGAGGGAGGGAAGGGAAAACTCCACCTGAGGGCTTCAAAAAGCCCCCAAAATTTAAAAAAAAATGCTCTTCTGGAAGCTCTTCTCCCTCCTTTCCCTTTTTCTCTCTCCCTTCTGCCCTTTCTCCTTCCCCTCCCAGAGGGGAGGGAAGATGATGGAGTGATGCTTTGGGGCTGCACCTCCCCGAAAATGGGGATGTCTCCAAAACAGGGAATCCCTGGGAAGAACCAAAAATAATATTAGAACCCCAGAATTCCACCAGCTTGGAGGGCAGTGTCCTCTCCCCCAGTCCCAGGGAAGTTGGGAAGCAGGTGGGAATGGTGGGAGGCCAGCACTGCTGAGGGGCTCCTCCTGAAAAACAGGGAAATTTTCTGCTGGAAAGTGTTGATTGCTGCAGTTCAGGGCGAGAAAATCCCGATTTCCCCCTTTTCTCCCTGATTTCCGTGTGTTCCGTGGATTCTTGTTATTGCTCCCAGCAATTCCCTCTGCATTCCAGCTCCTCCAGGTGTCCCGCGGGTGTTTAGTAAATAAAAGGGGATGGTGTGTCCAAACAACTGACAGAAAGTTTGGAAAAGCAGCTGCCCTCCTGCTGCCATTAATCCTTGCTGGCCCAGGGCAGAGCCTGGGGATAGCAGACGGGATTTTGGGATGCTCCCAGCCGTACTCCCGTATTTTTTGAATCCTGTTCGACCCGTTTCAAGGCGGTTTTGCCCATTTTCCACCGGAAGGGGCCTGAAAGCGAGGCCGGTCGGAGCTTCCCAGGGTCCTGACCCCGCCGCCCGCCCCCTGTTTTCCAGACATCGACGAGTGTTCCCTGTCCCAGGACAACTGCACGGGGGGGAGCACCTGCATCAACACCGGGGGGGGGTTCCAGTGCGTCACCCCCCGGTGCCCCCCGCCCGCCGGGAACGTCTCCTACGTCAAAACCTCCCCCTTGTAAGTGTGGTTTGGCACAAAACCCCACGGCACGGATGCAACACTGGGGGCAGGGGGGGTAGGGGTGATGCCCGCTCGGCTGGTGCTAAGGAAAAAAATCCAGGAGCCGTTAATCGAGGGCGAGATGAGGAAAGGGTTTAATTGTGCCAGGCTGTGCCTGAGATGTTACATTTTATAACCATATCTGGCCAATCCCAAGTGTGTCCACCCCTGATCCACCCCCTGGCCCACCCCCCGGAATTGGGTGTGGGGTGCATTTTGAGACCCTCTCTTCATCAACCTTCATCATCTTCGGGGCACAGAGAGCACAGAGTCACCCAGTTCTTTGGCTCTGTTCTGTGGTTTAAGCCAATATACAAGCATTCCCCAAACAGGACAGGCTTGCCTTGACAAGAGACTAAACATTTCTGCTGGATACGGGGGTAGGGTTGATATAGGGAACATGGAATGGGGTAAGAGGGTTAAGGAATTATAAACTAAAGGGTGCTACTGGCTAGAGGGATAAGGGCTGCTGCTTTTAAAATCTACTTCTATCACTTATAAAACTTATCAGGGTTACAAATATCAGAAAAATAAAAAAACCATTAGGGGCTTAAGGCATCGGGGGGGGGACACGCGGATCCCGCGCCCCCCCAAAAAAAACCCTCCTCCCTCGCTTTTTTTCCCCCCCTCCGCAGCCAGTGCGAGCGCAACCCCTGCCCGATGGAGAGCCGCTCGTGCCACCACGCCCCCAAAACCATCTCCTTCCACTACCTGCCGCTCCCCTCCCGGCTCCCGGCCCCCGCGCCGCTGTTCCGCATGGCCACGGCGGCGGCTCCCGGCCGGCCCGGCCCCGACAGCCTCCGCTTCGGGATCGCGGGCGGGAGCGGCCGCGGGCACTTCGTGGTGCAGCGCTCGGACCGGCACACCGGGGAGCTCATCCTGGCGCAGAGCCTGCGGGGGCCCCGGACCGTCCAGGTGGACGTGGACATGTCCGAGTACCTGGACCGGGTCTTCCAGGCCAAGCACGTGTCCAAAATCACCCTCTTCGTCTCCGCCTACGAGTTTTAGGGGCCCCCGCTCAGCGTCCTGCTCCCGCTCCGGAGCCAACCAGCCTCCCCCTCTGTCCCGAGGTGCTTCCCAGGTGGATTGACGCCTGTCCGTGTGCAGGAGGAAAACCCAAATGAGGTGGAAAAGAAGCGGGAAGTGGGGCTCCGTCCTCACCCCCCCCCCAGCTCCGGAGGGATGATGTCCTGCAGCCGCCTGATTTCCTTAGGATTCCTGCTTTTTCCTTTAGGATTCCTGCTTTTTCCTTTAGGGAAGGCAGTGAAGCTGAGGGAGGAGGGAGGGTCCTGGCCTTTCCCGCTCTCCTCCCTGCTGGCCTGGGATTGCTTGGACCCCGGCTCCCTAAAAACATGCCTCTGCTTCCCTTCCGATGCTTAGAATCTCCCTGGAGCCTGCTGGGGATTGAGGTCCACGGCCTTAACCCCCTGGGATTGATCAGGGCTGGAAAACTCCAGGAACATCCACCTGGCTGGCTCCCGGTGCCCTCCTTGGCAAGCTGGGCAAAGGAGGAATCCCGGCGCTATCCCTGCTCCTTAAACCTCCCCAGTGGGAATCCCCCGTGGATCTCCCTCGCTGTGACCTCCCAGCTGCGTGGGGAAGTGGGAATATTCCCTGCTCCACCAGCCACAGCTTCCATCCCGGTGTAGGGGCGCTGGGAAGAGCTGGGATTTGGCTCTTCCCGGGGGGGGATTCACCCCCCTGCTTGTGCATGTTCTCCTGACATTCTGCATGTTTCCCACATTCCGCTGGATTTAGTACAATTAAAGGATGATATAAAGGATGGCACCGGAGTGAAGCACCCAGTGGATGTGTGGATGGTGGGAATGCTCCTCTGGAGCCATCCAGGAGAGCTCTGGGTCTGGTGGGGCAAGGATCTGTTATCCATGGTTTTACTTTCCTGCCTTACATTGCTTGGGAGGTGGCTCATTCCCCCTGGAGCATCCTCAACCCTGAGCATCCCTCCCCCCAAGGAAACTTCACCCCGAGCATCCTTTCCCCCGGGAATCCTCATCCCTGAGCATCCTTTTTCCCCCGGAATCCTCACCCTGGAACAACCTCATCCCTAGGAATCCTCACCCCTGAGCATCCTGCTGAGCTGCACCCACCAAAACCCTTCCCAGTCCTCGCCCCACGGAGGGAGATTTCCCAAGATGGATCTGTCTCCTGAGGGGGAGATGGATCCCTGCATCCTTTGGGGGATTCAGCTCCCGGATTTTTTGGGGGGCACAGGCTTTCCATGGGAGCTTGGGACGGGTTGGATCTCTCCTGGCAGAACAAGGAGGGACATTCAGGGCTGCTGCCGGCGGATGGAGGATGTTTGGCTTGGCGAGAGCTCCGGATGGATGTGGAGCCGGGCAGGGAAATGTATCCCAGGGTTGTGTGAGGGGAGGGAAGGGAAAACTTCCTTAAAAAGCCCCAAAATAATAATAATAAAAAAGGCTTTTCTGGGAGCATGGCTGCTCTTCTCCTTCTCCTTCTCCTTCTCCTTCTCCTTCTCCTTCTCCTTCTCCTTCTCCTTCTCCTTCTCCTTCTCCTTCTCCTCCTTCTCCTCCTCCTCCTTCTCCTCCTCCTCCTTCTCCTTCTTTATCCTTCTCCTTCTCCTTCTTTATCCTTCTCCTTCTCCTTCTTCTTTCTCCTTCTCCTTCTTTCTCCTTCTCCTTCTCCTTCTCCTTTTCCTTCTCCTTCTCCTTCTTCTTCTTCTCCTTCTCCTTTTCCTTCTCCTTCTCCTTCTTCTCCTCCTCCTTCTCCTTCTTCTCCTCCTCCTCCTTCTCCTTCTCCTTCTCCTTCTCCTTCTCCTTCTCCTTCTCCTTCTCCTTCTCCTTCTCCCATTCCCTGGCAGTTCCCAGCCTGGCTGGATGTGCTCCTACAGCAGGCCACGACCGTATTTTGGGATGATAACAAAATCTGGGAGCCAAGAACCAGGAATCTGGGAGAGGACAAGCTCCTGACGGGGCAGAATAGTTTCCATGTGCTGCTTTCACTGGATAACACAGCTGGAGACGGGCGCCTGGACCGCGCTCCGGAGGCTTTTCCTCGCGGCGCAATTCCAGGCTGACAACATTTTCCTAATTCCCGGGGCCAGGGTGAGCTGGTTTCTCCCTTTCCAGCCCTGGAAAAGTTTAAGGTCAGCTCTCCAGGCTGCAAACCTCTGGCTGCCATTCCAGCTGACTCGAGGAGATTTTTTTTCCCATCCCAGAGTGGCTGCTCCAGCACCTTTCAGACTTCCCGAGGCTGGAATGTGCAGAGAGAGGCTCTTCCGGCCCTGAAATGCACCTTTTCTTTGGGATAATAATATTTTGGAGCCGAAAAAAATAGCTGGAATTCTTTGGCTCCCCTTTGGTGGGCACAGCTAGCTCCAGAGGCTGCCCCAAAAATCACCGTTTCTCACCCCAAATGGCTCAGGGGGAGAAGGCAAAGGATGAAGGAGAGGAATCCAGCGCCTTGGAATTTGGGAGACTGGGTTGGGAAAGCATTCTCTCTCCTCCTTACTCCACGAGGAGGGAAAAGCCCCAAGCTCAGGGGGGTGGCAGATGAGGCAACTACGACATCCCATCCCATTTTCTCCTCATCATCCTCCTCCACTTCCCAAAATCCATTCCTCATGGACCTTTCCCAGCAGAACATCCCAAGCCTGGAGCATCCCTGAGCTTCTCCTCGCCCTCAGTCTCAGCTACAATTAAAAGAATGATAATTATTAAACACAAACAGGAACTTACCTTCAACTACATGTTAAAAATCGAAACATTTAACCAATATTTAAGGATTTTTTCCTTTTATTCCGGATTTGAAATCCCATTTTTTTCCCTTCCCTATAGCCTGGGGAGATGGTACTGTGAGCCCTGTGGGCACCATGGAGTTAATTAGTCTGCACGATGGGGCTAATTAGGACTAATTAGCCCGTAATGACGCTCCCCAGCCACCAGCACCTCCCCAGAGCCCCTGTTTCAGTCCCAGCACGGCTGGAATGCCGTTTTCCAGTTGTTTCCTTGGATTTGCCTCATCTCCATGAGGATTTGGACCCTTAGTCGAGCTTGGCCACACGGAGACGTTTCTCCCCTCGTGGATCCGAGGCTCTTCCCAATGGGAACCCATGGGAATACACGTGGCTGTTCCCTCTTTTT